TGCTGTGCTAGAATATCTTAGCATAAATAGACATGATTATTTATTAATAAAGCTTCAGCTATGAATATGCTGCTGGATACACTGTATATATAAGTTCCTAGTTATGGCAGAAGAAATCCTGAATCTAGTCAGCTATTTGAGTCTTCATTTCCATAGGTAACGTTATTCTTTGTGCTATAGACATTTATCATGTATTTGAGTAAAAAGCAAACACACAAATGTGAAGACTGAGATGGCTTGCATAGCTGATAGCTGTGGCTTTAGAAGTCCATGAAGCACTTAGTCTTCAAAAGCTTCTGCTTTTTTTTCCACGCTGAAAGTGGAGTAGGTGGTATATCATATAATAAAGGTGGGAAACTGCAGGATATTCTGGATGCTGAAAGCTTATATGGGTTCAAGCAAAAATAGGCATGTTCATGGTAGATTAATATGTCAAGATCTACTTAATGCGAAGTCTGATGAGTCCTTGAGTTAGAAGTCATTTGAGGCTGGGATAAGGTTCTACAGTAATATTTCTGCATGACTTTCCTATTCTTGTATTTTTGCCTGGGCACCTGCTTTTTGTAATTCTTCACAATATTGTTCTAAGTAGGCCATTTGTGTCTCCTAGTATAGCCCTTCTTTTGTTTTCTTTTTGCAATTTTTTGGCTCACACAACTTTGTAAACATATTCCTAGTCTGAATTAGGTTCCGTTTCTCCTTGCCGTGAAAGGGACCAAGGAGGGGAGGGGAGTCTAGTGAATTTAGCTGTGGCACATGCAAAAGATATAACCCTCCTGTGGGGAGGGACTTAATTTCATTTGTGTCCTCTCTGGAGTGTGGAGTTTTGACTTGACAAAGAGACATACAGTTTTTGCTGAGCTTTTAGCCATTCATATTTATTTGTTTGTTTTCATTTTTACTTCTTTGGTGGATACTAGTTGTAGCCTTTATTTAGCAGAAAATTAACATGAAAATTATTTAATAAAATTAAGCACAAATATCAGATTTAACCACAGATAATAATTTTCCTTTTGTCATAATTTTCTTTTCATTCTTTAGTTTTCTGCGTCCAATCCAAATGTGAAAGCTCTTGAAGTAGAGAAAAATGTGTTATTTTGCTTGTCTGTAAAACGTCTCAGATATCTATAGCATTGTCTAAAGGTCTGGATTTTGCTGGTAAGAGGGAAGTACCCCTGATTACTTAGCAAATAATAAACAAACAAACAAACAAACAAATGTGAAAGCTTCACACATATTCCTAAGACTAGGGTGATGCTGTAAGAAGAGATTTAATTTGTTGAGTTATTTAGATTCCAAGAGAAAATATTTTGGGTCTGTACATGTGTTAACAGACTTTGAATAATTACTTGGTTCAGCTAGAGAAATCCAACTCTATCGCCACTGTGCACCTAATGCTGTTGTCCAGTAATGACCCAGAAAGGAGGCAGGAATGAGCTGATATCCTGATTTACGCAGGAGTGTCACACCGGATCCTACAGAGTTTCAACCCTCAGGATATTGCTGGCAGGAGAGAAGTAGGCATCTGTGCAAAGCTCAAATCTGGTTAATGGCTAAATAGCTCTCAGGCTATAAAAGGATGTCTCCCCCATGCCTGTGCATGTGAATCAAATCCTGTTATATTCCGGAACTGAAAAATGGACAGATTCTGTACAACTGGAGCAGTGTTTTTGTTTCTTAATATTCTCTCTCTTACATAGCATTTCCATATTGTGAAATTGAAGCTATTTTTTAAACACACTTTTTTTTTTTTAACTACTTCAGTTTCCCCGTGTTAGTCACCAGTTCTCTGTTATAACAGCAAACAAAATCAAAACTGGGGGTGGGAATGAATCTGGACAAATAAACTTAATATGTCAGAGCCATTTCATGCTGGTTTTATGTTTAACAAATGAGTAAGTGACAAAAAATTCTGATGTGTACTACACATTTCACAAAGGGCAAGAGATAAACTCTGTAATCATTTAAATTCAAGGACAGTTAATAAAAGACTTTCCTGTTACTCTTAGAACATTTTTGCACTGTCTGAAGGACAGTTTGAATGGATGCTAATTTTCTCACCACCAAGGTCTGCTGCCATTTTATGACACACGTGCTACATAATTACAGCTGCATTTTCTCAGAACCTTCAGTCTATCCCTTTCAAAATAAAATGGTGTTTCTCTAGAATTACATTGTATGGAGTATGTCTGTTTTGTGCAGTGTGGAACAAGGATGATTTTTGTTGTACATGAGGCATAAAGCAAAGAAGCCATCATTTGTGAATGGTTCTGCAGAAAAAATAAAAACAAAAAAGACAGGAAGTGATGAGAATTCTGTCCATGGTTTAAAAAAAAACATTAAAATGCATTTTTGTTATTTTATTTTCTTCTTTATTGGAATTTGGTATTTGAAATTGTGAGTGAATTTTACTAATGTAAGGAGGATTTAGCATATTATTTGGATGATCTCCATTAGATTTATCCATAGCGAGTTGTACAGTAACCATATCAGTGGGCCATGGCTGCCTTTTTTTTCACTTGTGCTCTGTTAATATCTAAGGCCTTGTATGAGGGGACATTCATGGTAGAAAATTAAGAAAAATTAAAAATAGGTTTTGTGGCAATAAACCAATTGCAAAAGAAACTATTTTTTATTCTTGTCATTTTAATATAGCTCTTATTACACAGTGTGAATCAACCAAATATTATCACCTAGTATTATTTAATACTGTAACATAGACCAACGTACTGACATTTGTACAAGCTATCCAGTGCTCCTATATGTAGTATCCTTACAGATATGTTTCCTTTTTGTCTTGCCTGGAGCTGTTTAATGGCAATTTTTTTGTTTCTTTGCATGCCAAGGAGTTTCTTTGGGTTATGATGCATCAATACCTTCTATAATTATTATAGTTCATTAAAAGATTATATATTGTATTCCAGGTGAGGCATCGATAGTATATATAGGCCATATGTAGGCAGACCCTAATATTTAAACAAATCCACATAAAACTTGCAGAGGGGTGCTTGAATTTCAGGCTTATTGCCCAGAACATGAGTGTCTTTTCTTTGTTCCTTTAGATTCACTGTTTCATTTTGAGAAGGTCTTGCTACCTTGGTTAGCCATAACAACAACCTTACTTTACATGATAAAGTAAGGTGACATTGTGCATTCTTTCTCCTGTAAGCTCTTGTTCTTGCTATGAATTTTGCATTGTCTTAGTAAAGATGTGATTTATCTGCCAAGGTTACTTGTACTCTACCCTGGAGGAGCTGTTTGGGATCTGATAGTTACCAGAGTTCAACTGTACGTTTCAACTTCTAGACTAATAATTAAAATGGTGATTATTTGGAGGAATTAATATCTGTCATTTAAGGGTATAATTTTTCTTTATCAGAGAAAAATTAAAATGCTAAAATAGAAACTGAAATGCAACATAATACTGGGCTTTGAATAGTGAATAAATAAGTAGTTGGTTTGGTCTTAATAGAAAAAGTATTGGAGATTTTTTTCAAAGATGTGTGAAAGCTCTCTTTCTGAATCGTGGTTATCTGCAACATTTGCTGGTTTGGGGAGAAGGAAGGCAATAAACTGGATTTTTGAATATGAGTTTTTGTGAATTTTATATTACACAACTCTTCCTGTAGTATGAGTAGTGAAAGCTAAAGTGCTTTTTAATTCTGTGGTGATTTTGCTTACGTTTTACCACATAAGTGAGTTACTAGTTTGACTGAATAGAGTTGCTGCCTTCAGTAACTACTTTCACTTTTTTTTTTTTTCAGTTAACATATGGCTTATACTCCTCAAAAAAACATCTTTCTTAGAAATCAGTAGTGTTACGATCAAATTATTGAAAGCAGGAAGTAGAAATGAAAGTCTTGGAAGGGTAACGATTGACTCAGTTACACAACTGGAGGCATCTAGTTTCATTTCAGATCTACTCAGGTAACCAGCCCTTCCAGTTCTCCCTCCAGAACGTCACAGATCTCCCGTAAGATCCCTAAGCAATGGCACAAGGTTTTTATTCATGCACCAAACTTAGCTAGTAACTTTTCAGCTACTGATTACTTTATGTATATCCCTGTGAGGACATAAAGGATAAAAATCACTTTTTAAATGTATGCTTACTTCCTGTGGTGTGTATAGTGTTCAATAGGTACTGAGTGAAATGCACTTTTCAGGAAGGGCTTGTAATTGTTGCACTGCAAATTTTTGCTACCCAGTAAAGCCACCATCAGTTGCATATCCTATAAAAAAGTGAGTAGAAAAAGGAGTCCAAAAGACTAGAAGAGATCTAACATTGTAGAAACTACAAATGGGAATATGGGAGGTAGAGGAAATCTTGATACAAAGTGCATGAATTAATAAATGCTTGTAACTTTGAAAAACAAGCTACTTTTTCTATTTTCTTGAAGCAAGTGCTATTTCAGGATTTTGTAAAGGGAGGTAATGCAGTCTAATGCAAGAGAGAAGTTGCTTCTCAATGCCATATTTATGGTAAAAATTTGTGAAGAAAGAGTGTACCAAACAAAATTGTAGGTGCATAAGATCACCTATATGGACATGTATATTTAAATACAGACTGTGTGAAAGGTGAGAGCTAAAAGGTACTCTGCAAAAGATTTGGATTCAGAAGCTGTCATGTAGAAGCTAAAGTTAAATAATTCAGTCTCCCCTGGGACTGGAAGGCGAAGCATAATACTGAAGAATTACAGTTCACTTACAATGATATTGCCAAGTAAACCCTAGAGGGAAAGAAATGGAATTTCATTCCAAAGATTTTAACATTATCTTTCTTTTGTATTCAGGTGGTGAACTAGCAAACTGTCCAGCCCCATTCATATATTTGGTTTTGTTTTTATTTTATTATGTTGGGAAGAAAAAAGAAACAATGGTCAAAAAAAATGTGGCCGCTTCTGTTCCGAGAAGGACCAAACTGGTAGTGGAGTGTGCTTTTGTTTTCCTGTGGCTTTCCTGGGCAAGCTTTTCTCACCATTTTTTCTCTGGCTGTTGTGCAGGTGGTTGACCAGATTGACACTCTGACGTCTGACCTGCAGCTGGAGGATGAGATGACAGACAGTTCCAAAACGGACACGCTCAACAGCAGCTCCAGCAGCACAACAGCTTCTAGCTTGGAGAAAGTCAAGCTGCGGGGCAGCACACCACACATCAAGCCTCCTGCACACCCCTCTGCTATCCTTACTGTGCTGAGGAAGCCAAATCCGCCTCCTCCTCCACCACGACTGACACCCGTTAAGTGTGACAAGCCTCCCAGGCTGCCTCCTTCGGCCAACCCCGTCAAGACTAATGGCACCCTGCTGCGAAACGGGGGCTTGCCAGTTGGGCCCAGCCTCATCCCAAATGGAGATATATGCTGTACACCAGGCAGTAATTTGGAGAAAGTTGCAATGCAGCCTCTGATGCACAGACCTGAGAAAGAGCGATGTCCTCAGCCTGGAGCAAGGGAACGGGTACGATTTAGTGAAAAAGTACAGTACCACGGCTATTGCCCTGATTGTGATGTTCGGTATAACATTAAAAACAGGGAGGTGCACTTGCACAGTGACCCTGTGCGTGCTATGGGAAAGCTGCCACACCACTGCCCTCCTCTGCCGCCTCCACCACCTCCACTGCCTGCATTTCCTCTGGAAAATGGAGGGTTGGGGTTAAGTCCCAGTAATAGCTTCCCTCCTCCAAGACCTGCAACTGTGCATCCACAAACTGCACCAAAACCCCAGAAAACCATCCTGAGGAAATCAACTACAACAACAGTGTGATGTATGCCACTGGAAACAACTCTCTCTTTTCCTATATTTAAAGATAAATAGGTAATGAGCACTTTCTACTTGAGCAATAAAACGACCCAAGTGAAGTGGCATAAAAATCACATGGTAAGTACAGAGGAACACTTGTTGATCTTGTACTCACAAAAAAATGTTGTTATGGCAAAGGATGCTGAAAAGAATATTTATGCTTTAAATTATAGGTTGCAAACATGTATTTCAGTTTTGTTTGTGTAGTGTAATTTAAAAGACAGTGAAAAGAAAGTTCAGTTTGAAAAAATTGAGTGATGGTTCATGATGGATTTCAATCTGACATAAGAGAATAATCATTGCTCCTGGGTTGTGGGAAACTTCCTGTTTTTAACAAGTACCTTTTCAAATGTGATTTGATGAAGCAAAGTGGAGTACCAGATAACAAGTTTTGACTGAATTCTAGCAGATGCATTTTTTTCTCTGCCTGACTGCTGACTGCTTGATCTAAAGCTTTCTGTGTGGAGCAGTGTAATAAGGAGGTAATCCTCGGACTTTCAGGCAGCTTGATCTTTGATGGGGAAGTAAATAAATTGACAGGTATGCTGACATGGCTCTCAAAAACTGAATTATCTTGCATTTTGTTTCTCAGCCACTCAGTTGTGCCACAGCCAAGGTGAAGTACAGAGTTTTCAGATGAACAGGGATAGTCCCATTAGGTTCCCCCCTCTCCAATTTCCGTTGCTCCATCTGCAAAACGGTAGTAATATTTTATCTCACATGCGATGGCGATAGATTAAACCAACAAAGCTCAGTCTTAAATTTTTCACAAGGCTTTCATCTGGTGCCTATATATTTTTTGAAGGCAAAGAAAATTTTGCTTAAGGCCTTCAGGGGCATCGACTTAATTTATGTAAAGAGCTTTGAAGTTGAAAAGCTCTGTAAAATTATGAAGCGTTAACATGCAAAACAAGATATTTTACAGTTATCACATTTTGATGGTGACCCCAATTAATATTCTTACTACTTGAAAAAAGTCCTCAGTGGTTTTAATTATTTTATGAAAGAAATTCTTATATTCTCACAAAGAGAATTGTTGGGACCTAAAGTTAAAAACCATCCGATCAGTGATGAAAATCTGATAATAAATCTGTTATTTTCAAAAGTTGTGCCAGATTAATCTCAAATGGCCAACAGCAAATGCTATATAAAGATGTTTTTCAGCTAAAATATAAAATGTACTGTATGGCAGAATGGACAAAGCAGATTTTTAATGTAAATTTCAATTTACGTGCAATAATACATATTAAACTGGAAACCAATCTTCCAGCCATTTCATTGTATACACATTATAGTACATTTATAGTGTTTAATCTGACTGAAGCAGCAGCATCAGCATTGATTTTTACTTGCTCAGCATGCTGCAGCGCAAGGTATGCAAACAACAGTTCAGACCCATCTTTGGTAGCAGTTACATAGTGATAGTTTTTAAATTGGAAAAACTAGTAGGGAATTTATCTCACAGGCCTGTTTTGTGGTGCAGAAAAGCCTAACAGAGCAAGTTTCTCAGTCATAATTTTGACAAAGTATCTGTAGTAGTCTTGGGATGGATCCAGAGAGCACAGGCAAGTTAGCTTTCATGCCTCGTCTCAAATGTTTTGACACATGGCTAGCTCATGTTGGTCAAAGAACTCTTTGTAGCTAAGACTGGAGCTGCTGGAATAAATAGACTTGATCAGGTATCCTGCTGCAGGAGAGTTGTCCACAGTCCATTGTACAGTATATGTCAACCTGTTCAAGTCTCCTACTGTTCTCTGTTTTTTCATATTTATTCATGTATGGCAAAGTCCCCATGTTCCTACATACTTGGAGGGTTTTGTTAAGAAATTGCACCTTGCACTGTATGCATCAGCTGGGCTGCAATATTTCATCAGTGTAAGCAGGTGGGACAATGTTTAGGTTGCCCAGTGTTTTGTGATGCTGCCTCTGTTAAAATTTTGGGGCAGTTTTCTTACTGTTGAGATAATCAGTCTCCTCTCAGGTTATAAAAATGAGTAAAAATCTCTCATGCAGGTATGACCAGGAGGAACCTAGAACCTTTAATACTTTGCAGGACTTTTTTGCAAAAAACAGTATTGTAGGACTATGTATCTGTTTTTTTGATGTAAAAATATTTTTTACAGGTAGATGGAAAAAAGTTCTGATCCAGTAAAAGAAGTAGAACATAAACAGCCACTGATAGCAAGCAACAGTGTGCTTTGAACAGTGGGTAGGACCAGGACCATTTTGCTGCCTTGCTTGGGGAAGATAGAAAGCAGAGCTCCAGAAATTGCGGTATCTTCTCCTCAAGAGTTTTTTTATTTTCACCCTGAAATATTTGATGTATATACTAGGACTATTTAAGGAACTGAGCACAGTCTACCTCACTGTTGGTTGTAAATTATGTTCATAATAAGAAATTATATCTTTATATGAGTTTTCTCAATTTAGATCTGTCCCTTGATGTTTTTTGCCTGATCTTGTAGCTGACTTCTGTGCAATTTTGCAAGCAGTAACAGAAGAAATAATTTACTTGAGGCAGGAAATGTAATAGGTAAATTTAAAAAAAAAAACAAAACAAAAAACTTTGAACAAATTTGTTTAACTATATTCTTCAGCAGTGCTTCCATGATGATGACTACATTAAACTCAGAGCTTTTTTTTCTTTGTGTAGGATTATTATTATTACTTGTAACCTAATTTTCAATGCTTTAAGCATAAGAGAGCAAGAAGACAGACAGTCAGTGGCAGAATTTTTCATAGAAGTGTGTGTTTCCTTTCCAGTTCAATGTTGCTTTTGCTAAGTAAAAGTTAGTAGTGCATGTCAGTCTCTTTCCTGGATAAATTAGTATAAGAAAAAACAATCATGATGATAAAATCTTCCAGTATATATATCTAATGGCTACAGAAAATTTTGGGTTTTATTTTTTGCAAATACAGTTGTGATTGTGTACGGGAGCTACAAATTGTATAATCTTCTGTCACCAAGGAGTAACTAACATACTGTAATTTTAATGGATGACTGTTTTCCTGTAGTTTCATAGTTTCAATGTGATTACGTGGTCCAACCTTACAATTTTAATTTTTTTGCTTCAGATCTGTGTGAGACAAAACATTTGTGTTTAGCAGTCATTAAGATGAACTACAGCCAACATCAGTAAAAGCTGACCTTTGAAACAAAGCCAGTGTACTTTCCTTACACCCACTGCAAAAGGATTGGTTACAGAATCTTTCTGGTACTACATAAATAGTTCTTTGTATGTCTGTATGTTCCAGTTATGTCCATGTTTATAAAAAAGATTCCACAGTGACAGCCACTCTGGTCAGTGTTAGATTTGCAAATATTTGATATAAGAAAATAATGATTGATTGACGGTAATACAAAGCAAAACAAAAAAACAGAAAACAACCTTTCTGTTTCTCACAATATCATGTATTTACTCTTATGAGAAAACTATATATCAGTTATTTCTCAACGGTGTATAACAAGACACGTGAAGAAAGATGCTTATGCTACTATGTAGTAATTGTTACAGATGAAAATGCACTTATTTTGCATTGGACAGTACTACATCTCTGTACTGATGAAACGTTTGAAAGACATGACTGAAGACAACTTCAAAGTTTATATATGCCCATGTGGACTAGCTTCCTCATACTGTGCTACACCGGTCCAGTGGAATCAGTACCAAAAAAATGAACAGATTAAGTGAATTTTGTTTTGCTTGCTTTCCTTCTTTTAGTTTGGGTTATAAGACAGTATGGGTCTTTCTATACCTGTAAGAAACAGGGGCTTTTTTTTTTTTTTTTTTTTCATTTAAAGCATGGAGCATGCATATGCTTGTAAAATGACTGTAGCACAGTGGGAACAGTGGGTATAGCAGAGGCAGAATTGGAAAAAGTAGAATCAGGCCATTCTGTCCACGCTGAAAGCACCAAAATTCATCTGCATTTGAAAGCCGCCTCCATTTACAGCAGAAGATTTAAAGTACAGAGGTATTGAAGAATGTTCATAAATAAATTTGCTGAAACCTTAACTTTTACTACATTACCTAGATGGGCAAGTATTTGAAATGCATCTCTCACTGACTAAATAAAAGAATAAAACTAACTTTTGCTGTTTAGGATGTAACTGAAAAAAATGAGCGATATCTTCCTTAAAAGTAAGTTCTAGTGCTTAGAATTGAAGGTAGAGAAATACAGAAAGCTATATGCTATTCAGTAGGACTTTCAGAATTAGCAGGAGGGGAGTTTTATTATTAGCTGTCATATGAATTTAGAACCTGTTAATGACTGCATAGAAAACATAAAATTTAGTAGCATATAGTAAATAAAGAAACTGTGGTTAACTGCTTTACATCCTGTCCTGTGCACCAGGAAAATGATAAATTTAAAAGGAGATTCTAATGACTTAGTAGGAGTTTAGTATTTCTGACACTTGCCCTTTAGATACAGCATGGAAGAAGATATGATGCATAATCTCACTGCCGAGTAGGAGCACTGGGAGGCAAGGACAGACTTCTTCCTAGAGGAACTGTATTCCTAGCACAGCAAAATTTCTAGATCTGATACTAAATCAGGTATAAGGGACATTATATCCCTTGCATAGCCAGTCATGTCTGGAGGTCAGTGTAGTAAGAGGACAGTGCCTCAGTACATTACAGAAAACACAAGCCACACAATTTCCTCAGCATAAGTTTTAATTCTACCAGAATTACTTGATATTTGGGTAGTTTGAAAGTTTGGCTTTTTGTACCCTTCATTATCTTCTCCTTTCCAACTCCTCCCTTTCTTTCTCCACAAATACAAGGTAGTATTAGAATGGGGTGAAGTTTGCTTCTCTGTTTAGCTTTACTTAATTTGGATCAATATCACTAAAATTTATTAGGTGTGACAACAAAACACTTATAAAGGGTATCCAGATACTCTCAGTTCTCTTTTCTCTGGAAACATGCTTATCATCAACAGTGAGTGCCAAGAATTGGACAAGAGAGGAAACCACTTATGTTCCATGTGTTGGCATGCATTGAGTGATAGTGGACAGCCAGATTCCCTATACTATCATTGAGTTTACTTTTAAGCAGGTGATTGAAACTGAA